TGATCTGGCAGGCGTACACATTCCTCATCTGAGTTATCTCAACTGCAGTCAATTAACAATAGTTAGTGTAGTCCAAGTGGATTCACTTTCTGTCATATATTGAAATTGAAACCACTTCTGTTGCAAACTTGCATGTGTTGGCATGTGGCAAGGACTGTGCTGTGGTTGTATGTATGCATGTGGGGGTTTGTGCGGCACTGAACGCTGTATCTTTGCAGCATCTCTGTGTTTGGTTCAGAGGATGGGCTCATGTGCCCCTACACATGTACACACCACACAAGTGCAGGCAGCTATTCTTAGTCAAGTTGTTATCGTTCAGTGCTCTGTGACAAGCACTTTGCATTAGAAACTCTGTTTGCACAATGCTGTACATAGGGATATACATAGAAGCACTTTCAGTTAATTTTTCACCCAGCCAGCTCCCTGTTTGTACGGCTCTGTCTAAACTATCTCAAGTGTATGTTTAATGCAGTGCCCAGATACAACTGTTTGACTCTGGATAATGCAAGATGACACTGAGCTCTGCCAACAGCCCTGTATTAGTGACTTCCTATAGCAAAACAGTTGTTTGTCATTAATCACAGCAACATTGTTTTCAATTATTTTCAGATAATTGCAAATTATCAACCAAATTGTGTCTTATCTGACCACAATGATGCATTAACATAAGGATTACCACTTATATTTGTCCCTGTTTCCAAGCCAAAACAAACAAAAAAAAACAGCTTCACGAGACAAAAATCTAAAAAGTCTTAATGTTGCAAATGTGTTTTTGAAAATCTAGACATTGAGGGGCTTTGTAGTCACTGTATTTTCAGGCAAATGTTTTTGAAATTAAATGATATTGACAGAACCTAAAAGACATTTTTGTCAGAAGACCAAGAATATGACTATATTTTACAAATGTGTGAAAGTGAACAGCCAAAATAATGAAATTGGCCAGCGGTACGTTCTGGATGCAGTCCCAGGGAGGCTGACGAGGGTGACAAGCTGGCCAGGCCCCAACAACGGCCAAATGCTGCTTGTGTTCTCCCGGTTGTGTCCCTGACCCTTGTTCAGGTTGGACGGGCTGCAGCTGGTCCCCCGAGTGCGGTCTGCCTGCTTTCACATCTGTAGTCTTCTCCTGAGCCCAGGCAGGCGACACTGGCCCCACTGACCCTCTATTCCTGTTTGTGTGTGGGTGTGTGTGTGTGTGAGAGGGAGAGAGAGAGAGAGAGCTATAATCAGAGTGAAGAATTGGCATAAAGACAGATACACAGATCATGTGTTGGACTGAGTTGTGTGGGTATCATGTGAAAGTTCATTGTTTACAGTTCATTGCTTCCCTCTGTTATTCCTGTATGAGTGTGTGTGTGTGTTAGTGTACTAAGTACGAGTGTGTCGGCAGACCTTTAT